AATATTTTTTTAGTAATTTAATTTTTATTTTTAATATTTTTATATTCAATTTTTCTATATTCATATAGTTTAAATTTAAAAAAGTAAATATTTTCTGAAAAAATCAAATAAGCTCTTGAATTTTTAAAAAAATCAATTTAACCCTCGAACTCAACTAAGAAAACCAATTTAGCCCATCGACCACATCATCAGCCTTGTCACCAACCACCATGGATTGTCACGTCAATACCATAAAGTATTATGTCAGCACCGTAACGGTTAACAACTAAAACTATTGGTTAAATGGTCACATTGGATCTATTTTCTAAATTTAAGGGTCACATTGAGTGTAAAAAATACTTTTTTTTAAGTGCAAAGGCCTCACATACACTTTTACTTGAATATTTTCAATCATTATTTGAATTGAATATTAAAATCTTAAATGTGATTGTACCATCATCGAATACGTCAAATATCATCAAGCACGTTAAATTGTTAAACACATCAATGATTGAAAATGTTGTTGTTAAATGATTCATTCAATTTAGATATGAATTCTAATGTGAATTTTATTTTATTTACCAGTATAATTATACTGTTATGTTTATACATATCAATTTTAATGTGAATTTTATTTTATTTTTATTTGATAGAGACAAGTTTTCTATTCTTGAAAAATTAGGGATAATAAAAAAATCTTAAAGATGTTTATTCCATATTTAGTGAATTTCATTTCCTCTATCATGTCGTATTTACTAAAAAAACTTATTTTTAATTGTATAACTATTTTTATAATATTTTTAATTATATATTTTTATGATAGTTTATAAAGAAATTTTAATTTTATCACTTTTAAATTTTAATTTTTTTATAATACTTTATAATATTTATTTAGTTCAATTTTATAAAAATTTAGTGAAATCAAATTAGAAAGACCTTTAGAGTTTAAGATAATTAGAGGTAAATGTATAAAATAAAATTTGTATAGGATGGACAAGCTGATGTTTGTATAAATAAAAATTAGGTAAAATTCGAGATAAAGTATAATAATATATTTTAATTTTTAGTAATTTTATTTTTATTTTTTGATAATTTACATTTAATATTTTTGAATATTTTTGTGTTTTAAATTAGAAAAAAAATTATTTTTTCTAAAAAATCAAATAAGTCCATAAATTTTTAGAAAAACCAATTTGCCCCTCAAACTCAATAAAAAACCAATTTAGCCCATCAACCACATCACCAGCGACCTTGGATTTCCACGTTAGCATCGTGAAGTATTACATCAACACCATAATAGTCAACGAAGGAAATCGTTAGTCAAATGGTCACATTATGTATGTTTTCTAAGTTTTAGGGTGTAACGTCCTAATTCAGTATGACCCGAAGATTGACGAATTATGACGTCACTTGGACCACCAGAGTGATTGACCAAAAATTTTCTTTTAAAAATAACATACTCGTTTGCATAAATCCATATGTTGACATACATAATCACATAAATTATAATACTTGTTTACAAATCGGGAACCCCCAAAAATAGCTTTAATTTATAGTTTACAAAATAATCAAACATTTCGCTTTTAACCTGACATACACGGGTTCATTTACAATACATGCCCACTATTACATAAGTCGAGACATACTCAAAAGATTGTGGATGATGCTAAACAATTCAGGCAAAGGCTCCTCCAAAAGCTCATTCTCCTAACCTAAGCATGGAAACAAATTCCGAACGATGAGCTCACAAGTTCAGTGTCACACTAATAACCAAACTACACTACATGCATCCTCTAATGTACATACTTAAAACATATTTGCTAGTATACGAATATACTAAGCTAAATATACATACATAGGTAGGCATATGGTGCAGCTGAGGGGCTACATCTCGGAGCTCACGCACCCCTCTATCCTACCTAGGGTGGAAATTCGAAATTCTACATCAGATTGCATCACCTGCTAACTTGCTCCATCGGCCTTGGGACATCTACGTTCAGTTAGCAAAGAAGTGACTAATGTACAATCTTAGGGTTGGTCATATCTTAGCATGCAAACGTTCCTTAATTTTATAAAGGGGTCTGGGTGTCCGACTCGTTTCTTGAACATCATACAAGGCAAATCTTATGATTCCCTAAAATATAGGGTTTCTAATTGAAATTAAATTTGTTAATATCATTCTCACTTGATGTCGTATTGAAGGATTAAAGAGTGGTTTGGGTCCCTCAATAATATTTCTAAAATTCCCTAAATTTCTAAAATTCCCTAAATTTCTTATTCTTGGAACTGAGTTAGTATCGATATTTACTTATCAGTATCGATATTGACTAAGGAGTATTGATACCTCCATTAAAGTATCAATACCAACAGCTTAAAATAAACTTGAGAAAATGAGGTAGTATCGATACTCAGCCCTTGGTATCGATACTCCCATAAGTATCGGTACCAAAATTGCATTTTGGAAAATCGATTTTGAAACCCCCTCCTCCAAGTATCGAGACCGAACCTAGAGTATCGATACTCCATACATGAGTATCAATACTTCCACCTAAAAACTTATATATTTTTTTCCAGTATAAGAATGGTATCGATACTGACACATATAGTATCGATATCGGCACCCGAAAATGCCCTGTGTGAGCATCTTAACCTTTCAAACCCATCCTAAAGGCCCTAAGGAAGTCCCTAAACATTATTAGAGTCTTATTTAAACTTATTAGGGTCATAAAGAGTCATCATATGTCATAAAAACACATAAATGTGATATCTACCATGAACATGCTCTTAATCTTTCTAAAGTTAATGCAAGCTACATAAATGCATGGTAAGGCTTACAAATAGTTTAGGGAGGTTATAAGGGTATTACCTTGGTGATTTAGCTGATGGAAACTCCCCAAAAATCACCCAAGTGACAACTTTTCCTTCCCCCTTGCTTTGGACCCTTCTTCAACTTCTTTCACTAATGCATAAGGAAAAGATATTACTAACTTATTTATGAGGGTAGTAAAAGTCTACAAACATTTCTTAAAGTCCATCCTACCCCCAACACAAGATAGAATCCTCTAGTTCATAAACCCCTACTAAAACCCATTTTTGGTTCAAAACTTAAAACTTGATATATGGGGCTTGAAATAAAGTTCTTGAATTGGCGAAGAATCTTTCTTACATGAGATAAACTCAACTAGGATATGAATTCCTTAAATCTTCACTTGGAGGAAAGGAAAATGAAGAGAGTAATGGGAGGGATGAGGAAGAGTGTTTGGTGAGTTAAGATGGGGTGGTTTATGTTGATATCAGATAAAAATGAGGGGGTTTAGCTCTTGATTTGAAAAAGAGAAAAAAAAAACTTTAGGTCCTCTTCCTTTTTACTTCTTATTAAACTTATCCCAAAAGTCCAACCCTTAGGTCAAACCAAGCCCAATTCATACTTAATTTTATCCAATCAATCTAATGGGTCTTTTTGGGCTCAAAATAAAGAATTTGGGCCAACCTGAGATTTGGGGTATTACATAGGGCCACATTATTTTTTTTAAAAGTACGAGGACCTCAGATACCCTCTCACCAAATATTTATGTTGAATCTTTCCATTATTTTATGTTATTTTATGCTTACTGAAAGTCTTTCCATAATAGAAGAATACGACATGCCAACTAGAAGTAGCATAAAACTTTGATATTGCATCTCTTCATAAAATTAAGGATTAATTTAGAAATAAGTGCTCAAATTATACTCAAAGTTAATTTTTTATGTGTAAAGATTTTTTCGTTAAAAATGGATATTCAATATTTTCTTCATTACAATTTTAGGTGTATGCCATTAAAAAATCGTTAAGTGATAAGTGTTACGTTCAGGTTTTTTTAAGTTTTTAAATAATATTTTTTTAAACCAAAAAATATAAATATGAAACGTGACACGGTTTTTTTAAATTGTATGCACCTAAAAGTGTAACGAAAAAATGTTAGACACATATTTTTAACGAAATATTCTTTAGGCACTAAAGATTAACTTTAAATATAATTTAGACACTTATTTTTATATTAAACGTAAAATTAATTACCTTAATTGTTATCCATTAACGTTCACCTACAGTTGGAAAAAATTCTACCATTTTTTATTATATTTTTTGCCCTATTTTCCATGGTGTGCGATCCGATTGAGGATATGACCTCAGAATTTTAAAGATGAGATAAACCCAATTATCTGCTTCTTTCGAAAGATTTTCTTCATACAATAAAGTAAATTGGTAGCTTTTGTTTTAGCTATGCTTCCTTATTATGTTTTCCATTTTCATTTTGATATTCTAATCCCTTGATTTGGTTATGGCCATCCCAAACATATGATAGGAAACATCCATCTATGATTCAGGTTAGATGATTATTAATCGTTAAAAAGAAATTGATAAAAAGAAATGTTTATCACTCTAAAAATCTTGAATTTGAACTTGAGCAACGGTAATCGCAAGATGTGTGCTATCAATAATTTAAGAAAGTTGAATAAATACTACTTAATAATCACATCAGACTATTCAAATATATATATATATATAAAAGTTAAGATCAACTTACACCCAGTATAAAACTAAAAGTTAAGATCAACTTACACCCAGTATAAAACTAAAAGTTTTACGCCTTTTCTAGACCATTGGATTTAGAGAAATCAAAGGCTGAAATTAACCCCTTGTTTTTTTTTCCAGTGAATTTCTTCTCATTTTTACTGTTAATCTTAGCCTTTAATTGGTCATAAAAGGGTGTAAAATTAAAAGAGTTTTACATAATGTAATTGAATCTTAACCCTATATCTATATATATATATATATATAGAGAGAGAGAGAGAGAGAGTACATGTAAAATTTAATATAAAAAACTTAAAATAAAGATCAAAATCAAAACAACATATTAAAATTCTATTTACTTTTAAGTGTTTTTTTTTTATTATTTGCCTTTCGGTGGAATGGAAAATATATAAGGCACAGAAAGAAGATAAGACCGCACATTGAATAAAACTTGATTCCCAAATCACACAAGTTGGCACAAGGTAATGTTCCGCTTAAAACATTCATATATGATTGAAATGTTTTCAATACAAAAATAAACATCAGATAATTTAAATCCAGAACAGCTTCAGACATACGTTTTCACTTAATCATATGGAATTTGGATATATGCAGCATCACATACAAATGGAATGTCAGCGTACATACCAGCAAGTGCGCATCTTATGCACTCCACAACCGTAAATAGGTAAGCAAATGCCACAGCCGTCCAAAAGTGCATCCCAAACTTGCCCCAATAGATTGCAAGTGGCATCCAGCGGCTCACGGTCCCGATCACCTGCAAGGCAATCTCCAATAACATGCCCATCACTACATGAAATCTGAAAAAGTGAGGCCATTCTTTCCTCCTCACTATCCCCAGATACGCAACGAAGAAATATGCCATCAGGAACCAGCTCGGCAAACTCCCAATGGCTCCAAAGAAAGGATAGGTCAAAAACTCCAAGTCTTCCAAGAAGGGGTGTAGATGATATGCTGTCTCAGCATACATCCATGTCTCGTGAAGAGGCATTAAATAGGGTAGGCATGCTAAAGACCTCCACCACCATCTGGGCTTCTTAGTCATTGGAGGAAAACGAAAACTGTATGGAACATCCTTAGATGCTCGAGGCACCAAACTAGATCTGCGACGCCTTGGTAATGATGGTAAAGCTTGAGACAGGCCACCTTGATCCCCACTCAACAATGGAGATGATGCAGCAGAAAGGTGCAAGAAAGGCCAATCTAGAAGATTGGACAGTTATACAAAAGAAAATATGAAAATTTGTTGGGGGATTGAGACATTCATTCATCCAGAATCACAGAATGTGAACTAAAGCAAATCAAAATAATTTGGTTAGGTTTGGATTCTTAGAAGGTTTGAGTTTTGATATAACAACGTAAATTATGGAAACAAAATAAAAACCATTCCGTAACTTGAGTGCAATATAGACAATGAATCTCACTAACTACATCTTGCTCATGGGTTGATAGTGCAAAGAAACAACCATGAAGAAATAAAACTCTACCAAGTTTAACCAACAAATAAAATGGAGGAGGAAGAAATCTTCATTAATTTTGAATAAAAAAGAGTACAAGGAGAACAGAAGCTAAGAGTTAGAGCCTTAGAGGTACGAGAGACATGATTCAACTTAACTTTTCAATGGAGATCCTAAATTAAAGAGAGTTCATATTATTTTGGTAAAATATTAATACAAGTAGAAACTTATATAAATACAAATACCTTTTGGTTTAAGTTTATATTACTCATTATAAGATTGCCCTTTGGTTTAAGTTTATATTACCCATTATAAGATTAGTTTTTTGGTTTAAGTTGATTCAGAAAAATAAAAAACCAAAATTAAAACAAAATCTTAATTCAGTTGGGCTTGAAACCAAACCATTTTTTTCAGTTTTCAAATCAAACCAAATTATAGATTTGGTCCCCCATTTTTCATTTCTAACCAAATAATGCCCAGGCCTACTTCAAAATTATCTACAAATGGTGTTTGATATTAACCTCTTGTACACCAAATGATGTCTACAAAAGAAAAAAGGGCAAGCAATGACATATACCTCCAGCTGAACAGGATTTTAAATCCCAATAAGACCCTGAAGATCTACTACTGATTCGAAATAGAGGTGTGGTAGGCAAACGATGATAGCATGAAAAACTAGAGCCACATGGCACAGGCTTAGGAAGCCTTGAACTCACAGAAACAGACCTGTAGGGTAAGGTGAATCCATTCAGAATCATGGCAGCTACCTGTAAAAGAAGGATGTATGAAATTTTATCAGCATGGTAGAGTAGAATCAGACCAACTATGCAATCCCACGCATTCAAATAATGTAATCATAATAGGCAAGAAATGACATGGGGAGCTAGGTTTCCCCAGATACTAAACATCAGAAAGTTCAAGCATATATCAGGAAGACACGACCAAACTATACCACAACGGATTCTCTTCATGATAATTGAGGAATATCTCCATCCCTCGTTATTTCCACATTGCAAATTGTGGTAAAGATTAAAAAAGGCATCCTCTGACAAAGTATATTCCTAGACCCTAGTACCAATAAAATCATTTGTGTTTCTGATTCAACATTGTTCACATTTTACCATTGGTTCATAACCCGTAGTATCAGCTATAATGCCCACTGTTGTAAGATTAAGATTACACTCACTTATCACTGCTAATATGAGAAACATGTTTTCTTAAGCATAATACTAAATCGTAATCTACATTCCATTTCATGCAACAAGTAAATATGAAACTAAAAAGAGAAATCTTGCAGATAACATACTGTTGGGCAACTGAAAGGAAAGTCTCGCGCTTTAGAATTTTCAACCCAACGAGTCAAGGGGGGAAACAACATAGTGAATTAATCTCAAGTATCAACCGTCAAATTCAAAATTTAATAACCATCCTGTGAACCCGATCCTAAGCTCGGTTGATAAAGAAACAAAAACCCAAAATCTAAGAAAATCAATGAATTTTCTTCTAACTAAAGCCTTGGGTAGATGTCAGGAAGGAGAGATTACCATGAATTGGAGAATAACGAAACGGCTTGAAACTCGAGAGCCAAATGGCAGTGCTATGCCCGTCTGCTATCGACTTTCGTCATCGTAATTCTATCTTGTTTTACTGGGGAAGAAAGGGCCCAGGGTTTTTGAGATCTACTTATGGGTCGAAAATTAGCAAAAGGATGGGTAAAGGTCAGGTTTGCAGAATAAAGCTGTAGCGTGGGCCTCGGCCATTAATAAATGAAGTCCACTCCTACTTTTGTCGGTAAATTTGGATAGAAAATAGCCCACCATTGTGTATCAAGTCAAGACCCAAAGTCGATATCAGACCCCTATCCCAAGATCTGTTTTCACTATTACATCTGATAAAATTTTAAATAATAATAATAGAAATTGTTTGATAGAATGCTTAAAATTATAGGATAAATATAACTTTTCATACCTAACTGTGATATTTATGTGTAATGCAACTAGATACCTAACTTTTTAATGGTGCAATTACGCTAATCATGGGACGGCACGTAGACAATTTCTATGTTTACCTCTATTTCCCTTTCCTTTTTTCACTTCTTCAAAGCCTTCCAACACTCGTCGTCGTCGTCATAACAGCAAGTTCAAGTGAAAAATAGTGTAACAAGAACAAATATACAAGCAAGAAAATTTACAACTGCTATTGAATAATCCGATGAAATGATATACCCTCAATGATCAAAATAATTAGTTATTTTATCGCGCTAGAGTACATTTAATCTCCTCAAGTCATTCAAGAAATAATAATTGCGACTCTCCCAAGAAAGTAGTTCATCAAAACAATTCAATGATAAATTTTAGATTAAATCACTTTACAATATTTTCAATCACTCTCGATTAAAGGGTACAAATATTGTACCTTCACCTAACATCATCAGCGCCTTTGAGCCTATAGAGAAAGAAACTCTTCATAGGTAGGATTCCGAAATAGCATCTCCAGAGAAAGAACCTCGAGAACTCCTAAGAGTATATAAAGAACGTTCCCAGAAAAAATACCTTAAATCAAACATCCTTCGAAAAACCACTAATTGTTAATATGACTTTTGACAGATCCAAATGACTTACCAAAACAAAATCTACTGTCACATGATCATATCTACATAACTTAATAGTTTACAAGTAGTCTTGATGACCATAAAGCTGACATCAACTTTAAGAGTCGCTATAAGATTTCTTGATCAAAATCGAGAGAAGGGATGAAACTACCTCTCTCATTTTTTTTGTTACCTCATTGTGGAGATAGGTAATATTGACATTAACCAATGATTATTCTCTTACTAATTGCAACTCTCTACCCAAATCATAAGGGATGAACCACCTACAGCTACCACAACCCAATTGTTGTCATCAATAAAATGAAGTAAAAAAAATTAATTTAGATTTCAATTTAATAATTGTAATTTAAGTTAAATATTAGTTTAGTTTGAAATATGTCTATAAACGCATCAATCGTTCAGCTAACCGTTCGTGAATTATTCGGCGGAAAGTTTGTTTACGTTCATTTATTAATTAAATGAATAAACATAAACAGGGACGAACGTATGATTTTATCTTGGGGGCGAACTTAAACTTAAGGGGTGAACTAAAATTCTAGGGGGCAAACTAAAATGTTGGGGGTGAAACATATTTTGAACAGAAAATACATAGAAAAAATTAAAATATATGATAATTTTAAAATTTTTTTGAGGGAGACTGCCCCACCTGCCCCCAGTTCATCTATGAACATGAATAAAAAAGTTTCGTTGAATTAAATGAACGAATACGAACAAAGGGCTCATTTGTTCATTAATATTCGTTTATGTTCGTTTACGTTTGGTAATACATTCATTTATGTTCGTTCATTTAATTAAATGTATATTTATGTCTGTTTATTTATATTCTTTTAAGAATTTTCGCTTGATATAAAAGAAAGTTGCATTTTATTTTCGTTCGTTTGTGTTCTCTTACGTTCATTTACATTCGTTTGGTTCGTTTATTATTTTAACAAACAAACACGAATAAGCTACATTCCTTAATGAACGAATACGAACAAGAAAATTTGTTCATTTAGTTGTTCGTGTTCATTCATTTGTTCGGTTAAAATTAAACGAATGAACATGTGCATATCTTCGTTCATGTTCATTCAATTCATTTTACATGCTTAATTTGAAATATATCAATTATATAATTTGGTACAATGATTAAATATCATTTTCTTTTTATATGGTTTTGTATTTTGATAATACTTTTAAGATAGTGATATAGTATAACTTAAATATAAATTTTAGTATGTGCGAAAAAACAAAAGTGACCAAAACAAAAACTTTTAAAAAATAGGTGATCAAAATAAACTAAACTATAAGAAAAAGAGACCACCAGTGTTGTTTACCCAATATTATTTGCCTGGATCCTTCACGTGTAGGGTAGACAAGTGCAATTTCATAGATTTCGCATTATACCTACTCTATTTGAGGTGGGGATCGATACAAGTTTAATGGGTAGTAGATGGATGTGAACGTAAAAAATCATATTTGCTGTGGGTAGTAGGTATGTAATGAATTTGAAATCTTACCCGCTCTGCATTTGCGTCTCGCGTTCTTCCACCTTACATCGACTCACCCATTAATTACCCACAATATAAATTTTGGATCATTATTAATTTAGATATAATTTTAAAGACTATTATATAAATCTTAAAATTTTATAAATATATTTTATCTGGAATAAACAAATGCAAGATGGATGATGGATAACTAATTTTATAGTAAGTGGGGTTGATTTAAAAATATATATGTGTAGGCAAATATAATGTGGAGGTGAATTTAAGAATATATTCATATAGATAGATGTAGAGTTAAAAATTTTATTCATCATGAATAATAGATAATGAATACAAAAAATACTAAATATTCTATCCAGGATAGATAAGAAATATCCACGCCCGTCCTGCCTGATTGCTGTCCATGTTATACGCGGAGGGATAATCCCTACTCTCTTACTACAAATAATGCTTCTCCGACGACTGCCTTCAACCGCCTCTTGCGTCGCTGTCTCCTCCCTATCCTGGCGTTACTATTCTCCTTGCTCCTTTTTCTCTCAGCGCCGCGTCAAATCTTTCAATTCCATATCATTTTACCCTAATCTTAGCCCCCTTTCCTTTAGCTCCGCCTCAGACATTTCATCTGATTTCACCGACTTAATCACCGATGAATCCTCCAAGCGCGTAAAACCTCCACTTTATCTCTCTCTCTCTTCGTTTGAACTTTGTTCGGATGAATATTTAATCAAGTTTTCGTTACTTGTAGGGACCCCTCAAACCTGGACTCTATCTCGTCGGAACACCTATCGGAAACCTTGAAGACATCACATTACGGTTCTCTATTTCTCTTCTTTTGTTCATTTATATTTTTTTGGGTCAAAATATGCAATCAGTCCCATTGGCAAAATCAGAGATTTCAGATTTATTACTATACTTAAAAACGTAAAATATAAATTATCATACTTATTCAAGTTAACAGTTCAATGTTGATATTTTTAATTTTATTTTCTTAACAAAATTCGCTTAATATGATGTTTGCTTACAATGTTCGTAATAATTTGCTTATTAAGCTAATATTTGCTTATCAAGTTTATATGATTTTATGTGTATATTGATGTTAAATTTTGACCAAAAATATTAAGGATTAGCTTATTTTATTAATGAATAAAATAAAATGATTTAATTTTTAAAGTTTTAAAGTGCATGACTAAATATCAATTCATTTGAGTATAGGATCTGACTATATATATTGACATTATTTTTTTTCGTATATCACATTATTGGTGATTTCATCAAAGCAGAGCTCTACGGGTTTTGAAATCAGCTGATGTCATACTCTCAGAGGACACACGGCATTCCTGGAAGTTGCTTCACTATTATAGCATCAAAACTCCTCTTGTAAGAGAGACTGAGCCGTTTTTCCTTTGATCAGTTGATATCTTTCATTTTGTTTTTCAATAATTTTGATTGTGCGGGTTTTAGAATTTCAGCTAAGTTATCACAAATATAATGAATCTCAAAGAGAGCAAACAGTTTTGGAGAGGTTAAAACAAGGGGAGATCATAGCGTTGATCAGTGATGCTGGAATGCCTGGCATTAGCGATCCGGGTACAGAACTGGTTAGTATTTGCATCCCTATTGGCTGAATTCTATAGATTGGTTGGTCTTGATGAAGAATGTAGTGACTAATGTTTGGAACCGCTGTTTAGGCAAAGATATGTGTGGATGAGAACATTCCTGTTATTCCAATTCCTGGACCGTCTGCCTTCTTAACTGCTCTTTCTGCCTCAGGATTGTCCACTGATGAATTTACATTTGGTAATTCCTTTGTAAAATATTGTGATTGAATGCGCTTCTCTGCGTTCCTTGGAAGTTAAAAGACTGTTATATGGCATATAATGTTGCAGTTGGTTTTCTTCCAAAACATGCCAGTTCACGGAAGGAGAGGCTGATGACTTCTGCTAGTGAAAAACCAACACAGATATTTTACGTTCCTCCTCACAAGCTTAGCCAGTTTCTTGAAGAAAGTTCCCTGATTTTTGGTGATTCAAGGTAAAAAAATGCATCTTCCTTTCTTTCATGAACCGTGATCAGTTTACTAATAAATGGTGAGAATCAGAGGAAATTATTGAAAGACCAAGTCATTCTTGGTGAAGGGATTTGGTATGAAAATATGGAATGTCCGCTTGAGCCAGAAGTATCCTCTTTTTTTGGTGTATCATCTTTGGAGTGTATGCATCTATTTATCTGCATTACTCAAAAATATATAGAGTCTGGAGAGGGAAAGAACAAAGAGTGGCTCCAAATATGTAAAGCTTGTTAGTTAACTTGCTCTAATTTTGTGGTAACTGATTATCAGATTAATAGCTGAAATCTCTATTATAAGATGATATCATTAAAGAAACTGTATCAGCAGTTTCCCAGGCAATCAAATTAGAGGGGTGGAGAAATTTGGTTCGTTGTCATCTTTAAGTGCAAGATCCTATGTTTGCTTGATTGACATTATGTACTTTTCCCTTGCTTCAGTTAGTTATCTGCCTTTTGATTCTTCTTTGAAACCTTCTTAGTTGTATATATTGACATCTTTAAAGTAAGTCTTAAGTGGAAATTACCGATGGCTCTTAGTCCCTATTATGACTATTGACTTGATCTCGTTGCAGACAATGTGTCATAGCTCGGGAACTAACAAAAATGCATGAAGAGGTAGGTCTGTTTTTATTTTCTCATTATGTTTTTCTATGCTACTTTGTCAAGTGTTAGGCAGATTTTTTTTTTTTTTACCAACCATTTATGTTTATGATAATGTAGCCTTTTTTCACCTTATTTTGGTTACTAAATCGTTAATGTTTATAGCTTCAGTGACTAATCATGTCCTGGTTTCAGGCTTCTGGTTAAAGACCAGTAGAAGAGGCCAATGCCTAAACTTTTTCAGTGGGCCTGTTTTTGGCAAAAAAATCAGGACTAGGGCGTATACTTATGAGGCCTTAACGCCATTTTATTTGAACCTTATGTCATGTGGCCTTATGTTTTAGGTCTTTTTGGCCTTGCTTTTTCCAATGGAGAAATATTTTTTCTTTATAATTGAGTTTTTCTTTTAATGTTCTTTGTTTTCTATTCAAACATTTCGTTGATGTGATTTTCACCCCTTATCAGAAATGCTATTGCTTGCAATAAATTCACTGGCTCGGAAAGCTGGAGGAAAATAAAACGATATGAATGTACCCCTATAGTTTGTAGTCCATAGAAGGTAGAAAAGAGATGCAATAATTCTCGCCTCATAATGTGTTGAAACATAACCTGGTTTAAATTGGAGATCTTACTTTAAGGAAATACAATAAAGTGCTTATGCAATAGATTTGAGAAGAGATTTTATTTTAAAGAAATACAATAAAGTGTGTGTAATAGGTTTGAATAGTGATAGACCTATTAGCCAGTGTGACCTTGTTTTGTGGGTTTTTCTTTATTAGTGACCATTAATTCTGGCAGTTCTGGCGGGGCACTTTGGGGAAAGCAAAGGAAGCCTTCTTAACTCGCCAGCCAAAGGGAGAAATCACCCTCTTGATTGAGGGCAATTCAAATTGCAGTGTGGAAACTCCATCTGAGAGCGAGTTAGAAAATGACCTGAGAGAATTGATCTCCAGTGGCCATAGTCTTTCTTCGGTATGATTTGAGTTGTTTCTTCACATTTTATCAAATTTATACCTTGCAAAGGCTTTATATAGATTCCTTATCACTTTCATGCAACTGTCATTATGAAGTATATTCCAATTAGACATTAAGACATTCGGAAGAACTTATATCCTTTGAAGAATGTTCCACATTGTTTTTATTTGATAAAAATAACTAAATATGATGTATGTTGCAGGCAGTCAAATTGGTGGCTGAAGGAACATCAATGAAAAAGAAAACGATATATTCCTTTGCCTTGAGAAAATTCGCAAAGAAGAACAAAGCAGAGGATTCAAATTAATGTCAAGCATTCTGGTAAGATTGAATAAGAAGGGTTCGATAACTTGGAAGTTCGAAAGACTAGAACAAAACTCACCCTTTTGATCTATATAATTTAACAGGGAAAATCCACATCCAGTACTAGGTTATTTTCCTTTTCGCCTTCATTTTTGGATGTCGAGGGGCATGCTTTACATTAAATGGCTAGAGAGCATGGCAATATTTAAGGTAAAAGCAGTAATTATAGATGAAGTACTATCAGTTTGCAGTTTTCCCAAGTTTAGTCATCTCTTAATTACTATTTCACCTGCGGTGCCAATTCGTGATGGCTTTTCACGCTATGATCACAGTTAGAGTATTATATTTATAAAAAATTGATACATTGATAATTCATGTTTTGTATATTAATCAGGTAGTTAAATTGCAGTTAATGTCGCATTTTCGGTTTCTTTGCATTTATCGCAATTGTGGTAATAGCGGGTGATATTGCTTTCTCGTTGAGGGTACGGTTTCGGACGACACCCTTACCGTTATATAACGGCCACTATTTAAATCCAGGATATTAATGTTCTTCCTATTGTGCTAGGGTTATATAACCATGTTGACTTTGAAATTGTCACGTGGTTTTACAAAATTTTCTCTAGTTGCGTGGGTTTATTTTATGAATGATACCAGCTTATAATATACATGTGTACCTTCCCTTTGGCGTTCTTTTTTCATTATTTAATTTGTCTGTTTTGGACCCGGGGATCTAAAATTATGGTCGGTTTGGTTCAATAAAAAATTGGAACAAAAAAAAAAGTGTGCTGGATAAGAAAAAGTCAGTTTCTAGTCTAATACAAAATGAGCAAATTTTTTAAATTGGAATGATAGTGTGCATGTTCGCAAATTTAAACCTAACAAAAGAACGAAAACTAATGTGATTTGATACAATGACGGTTTAATAACACACGAGATAAATTCACCAAAGGCCCATAGATGAGTGCAACTTGTGTCGCTGCAGACCTTGTTTAGCAGTTTCATTGCAAGTTAGCCAGCATGATTCGAACCCCATGAACTGGGTTACACTTGCCACAAATAGCTACATGATTATCACCCGAATAAGAGTATTCTTAAGTAATAATTAGGATTTGGGGAGCGCTCTAGTTAGACGCGAAACCCAACAGGCTCATACCCTACTTAATGATTTAAAGTTTATAGTATAATTTAAGTGAAATATTTGAAGAGAGACAACCTTGTGGTTCTTTGATTTCCAAGCCAGTGTTGCATATGAACTCCAATGGCATCCAAGTAAGTGCTGCTCCTCCCATGGAACCCCACCACCTTTCCCTCTGTCACGGTTGAAGTGAAAAACGTACCTTTCTCCTCACCAAATGGACCATACTTCCCTCTACTCGTGTATAACGTTAACGACGTTACCACTTTCCGCTTCTCCTCATTGTCTATGCACCCATAATATCCTGACACGCAATTCACTACCTCGTTTGGGTAGTCTAATTTTACCCGATTTGTGGTGGTTCCTTCATGACCTCCATGTTTTGTAGACCACACAGATTGTCCATTTCGATCGTACTCTATCTGGATTGAGCAAATAGCTTCAGATTTGGTTATATATATTTGCCTAATCCCAGAATATACTCCATCATCCCATGGTCTTCCTCCATCTCCTCCCCAAGGACCTGGTCCCCGTGGTGCTGATTCTTTTACCACACTACAAGCAACCTGGCCAAATTCAATCCAAATTACATCTATGTATACATTTTGTTTTGGAGACATTTAGAATGAAACATACAAGAACCCATTAAGCAACATCAATGGTTAAAGAGATTGTTGTTTTCCCTAAAGATATCGGGTTCGGGCAATTACGTTTGTTGGTTGCGCACGCGAGTTGTCAATGAGTAAAAAAGATTTTAAACAAATACTACCTTATAATCAACCCCAAACTATTCAAAAAGTATGAATTACCTCTTCTTCAGGTCCTCGCTTTGCTAGTACTAGCTTGTTAGACCATGGAGAATTATCAATCTCGGCTATACTCTTTTCACTGTGGATGATTGCTTGGGACAAAGGTGGCTTTGGAGGTGGTATTTTGGCTTCCATTACGTGCACACCAACGGCATCCAGGAACAAACCTTCACTGCCATGGAATCCAACAATCTTGCCTTCATTCATCTTGTTGGAGAAAGAGGGTCCTTGTTCATCTCCATATGGCCCATGCTTTCCTTTGTTGGTGTAGAACGTTAGTGACTTGATTACATTACGCCCCACGTACATTAATGGCCCAAAGGTCCCCGTGATGTGTGTCAAAATTTCTGATGGATAATCAAAGATTATCTGCGGAGAATGCAACAAGTAAATTTTGTTGAAATACCAGCAATGTTGAGTTTAATCTTTATAAGAAAAGCTACACTCATACCCTGTCGGTTTTGAATCCTCCGGTGCCTCCATGTTTGCTTCCCCATACTGCTTGTCCGTCGCGATCGTAACAAACCTTCATCGAAACAATTCCGACATTGCGTGACAATATGATTTGCCTAACACCGGTATAGGTTCCATCATCGAACTTGGTTCCACCATTGCCACCCCAGGGTCCATAAGTTATCTCTCCTTCCTGTGCTTTTGAGGGTACCTTCTCTAGAGTCCTAAATGAAACCTTGAGCATGCAAGAAACAAAGAACAAAAAATTGCATCATATGTAACATAAAAGTGAAATCAACTTCTCATTTTACACCCGTCAACTCGGTGAATGATATTGGTTTTGGATAAGGTTAATGTACATCGATCCATTCGGATTTTGAGTTCAGATATTTCGAGTTATCAATATGGAATTCTGGGTTGGTTTAAAATCGTTTGAATAATTATTTATTATGAGTAGGAAGTTAACATTCGATAAATTCAAGTTAAAAAATTTCGAGTTAATGAAGTTGATGAATTTTATTTTATTACTTAAATTTTATTTGAAATTTTTTCGAGTAGAGTAGAGTTTATAAAATTCGAGTTGAATCGAGTTGTTCAAGTTTCTGTTTAAATTTAATTGCAAATATTTATAATATTATGCTACTATTTTATTCCAATTTAAACGATTTTTCTATAACCATATACAATAATATATATATTTATATTTTTTCATATGTGATATACATATATTATACCAAGACGAGAGACTCGACTCAAACTTGAAAATCAATCTACAAATTACTAAAAATTTTGAGTTATTCAATTTCTATTTTATAACTCGACTTGAATTTAAAAAAATGTAATATTTTAGTCGAATAAAAAATATCATTTTTTAGGTCAAGTCGAGTTTTGCTCACCCCTCATTGTTTGTCAATTTGGGTCAATAATATTTTAAAACAAAACAATTGATTAGGTTAAGCTAAGGATGAGTAAAACTTAACTAAACCTGACGATAAAAAAACTCGTAATTTCATAAACGCGACTTGACTCAAAAATTTCAAATTCGAAATGAATTATAAAGTAAAACTCGAATAACTCAAAAAGTTTATTAGTTAATAGATTGGTTTTCAAGTTGAGTCTCTCGACTCTGTATGGTATATGTATATTGCATATAAAAATATATGAAAAAATATATATGCATAGCGTATATGGTTATAGAAAACTATTTAAATTGGAATAAAATAACATCGTAACATTATAAATATTTGTAATTAAATTTAAATAAAAACTCAAATAACTTGACTTCAAATTTAAATTATAAAATATGACTTATCAACTATACTAATAAAAAATTTATTAACTCGACTCAATTGAATAATCGTATGGGTTAAGCAGGGTTGAATTGTTAGTGTAAAATTGACTGATGTTCTTACCTTAGTTTTGGTTTCTGCATCGCTGGAATCATCGGAGCTACTAGAAGTTAGGGTAGGGGGAGCCTTTGGCAAGGAATTCCCAAAAGAACCCCTTTGTCTAACAGCAAGAAATATATCATAGCCTTGTACACCACTTCCTTGCTTCACCGAAAACCCATCTTTGTCTCCTCCATTAGAAACGAAGCTCTGGGCATGGGTGATACTCCTGCAGGGATTCAGCTTAATAACAGGCTTCGAATAAACTCCAATCGCGTCCAAATACACACCACCCCTCCCATGAAATCCCACAATCTTTCCCCTGCTCATCGAGAACCTACTCCCTTGCTCCATACCATAGGGTCCATACGCTTTCCTGTTGCTTTGCAGAGTAATCGATCGAACCATAAGGGGTCCCCTTTCGTTTAGGGTGCCGCAGTATCCGTGGATGGAAGTAAGAAACTCATCTGGGTAATCAAGTTTGACCTAAAACAATGAAAATATCAGTTTTTTGAGTTTGAAGTAGATTTGCCGATTTGGTATTTCAAAAGCTAACCTTATCTGTCTTGGAGCCTCCATCACCACCATGCTTCCTTGACCAGATAGAGGTCCCTTTGTTATCATATTCTATTTGGATCAAGTCGATCCCGGTTCCATGAGCGATCAATAATTGCCTTACCGTCGAGTGGATTCCGTCGTCCCAATGAGACCCTCCTTGGCCTCCCCATGGACCGAATGGTGCCGGTTTCTCGTCGTCCTCGAGACTCTGAAAACATTGTGGCATAGGAGAATTAATGATCAATAAACTGAAAAAACTAATAATAGAAGAAGATTACTGGTTACTTACCATTAATCCTGGAGCGAAGAGCAGGCAATTTGGTTTAGAATGACAATGATTATGAAGCAAAAACGAATGTAGTTTTAAAACTGTGACGAAGAAGCTTATTCTGTGTTCCACTTGGAAGGGAATCGATTCAAAGGAAAATGAAGGGAATCAACGTGATTTGAATCCACGGCTCATGTGAAACAAAATGTTGTTTTCAAGCGGTTCGGCTGTAGACGATGAAGCAAGTGAACTCACGTCATTGATCCTTGTTTTATTTTGCGTTTTCTATTTCGTGCATGTCAAAATAAGATGGAATTATGCGTTATCTTCGATCTTACTCAAATAGCTGGATCTCACTACTCTCTTCAAATTCCATTTCTTCTCTCTGGGAACTGTGGGAAAATAGAGGCATAGGATACTTGCTGAGGCCCATTATGAAGCCTTTCCTGGTTCCTTTCTTCAAGCGAATTTATTCTTGTCAATTTTATTTATTCTTTTAGATTTACAATATTATAAAAGTAAAAAAAATGACAAGTTTAAACATAAAATTTTAACATACTAACCAGATTAAAATCAATTTAGCTAAATTAGTAGTTTTTTTATTGCAATAAAAAATTATCTTAAATTTTGAATTTATTTTATTTTATATAATTATTTGAATATTTTAAGATTTTCATCCATATATAAAAAAATTATGTTATTAATATAAGTTTGTTTATTCTAAAAACATTTATAGATTCGCTATTAATTATGATTGATTTTGAAAATATATGTAAAAATAAATTTGAAAATTAGAAAAACCAGTCGGCCAAAACTCTTTAGTAATGAAGGAGTAGGGCTGTAAAAGAGTCAAGTCGAGCTCGAAAACTCTTGAGATTAAAACTATTAAGCTCGATTCTAACCAGAAGTAAAAATATTGAAGTTTGATTTGACTCGAAAGCTCGTGAACTTAAAATTCCCAAGCTCCACTCAAAATAAAAAAGTAAAGCTCGACTCAAACTAAAACTCGAACCTTAAGTACATAAAATCCTTATTTATACTTTTTTTTAAAACAACACATAAATGTTAGTAATAATATTAATAATTTGATTTTAAAATTTTAATATATTATTATCGTGAGCTTTTCGAATTGAGTATCAAACAATTCACTTTGATTCATTAAGAATTCGAGTCAAACTCATTTAGTTCGAGTGTTAATGAAATTTCACTTAAATTATTATTGAATAATTTATTGTCTATCTAATCTCATTTGCCACGTTTGTGATTATAGCCGGGGAAAAGCAAACCCTAATTGAAACGGAAGATCCGCATCTCTCAAAATTAGGTCACGTGATCCAAGAACCGCGGTAAGCGGTAAGCGGTAAGCGGTATTTGTTAATTGTGTAGCATGCACCGACGTAAACGGAACAGAGATCCAGGGGCACACAAATTGTTGACATAAATGTTAGAGAAACAAATGACACATCGACGGCGCTCCTTTTCTATTCACTCTTGACTCTAATGTTGGATTTCAATTAATTTCATCGTTTGCAGAAGGTGTTGCAAAGACAAGGAAAATAGTCCTCCTTTTCTCAATCTTGTAAGCTCTGCAATTCCTAGCAAACCAACAGTTTACCTTCAAACTACAAAATTTTCATTTAGTTACTCTGATTTAGTTGTTTGTCCATTAGACTACTTTGGAGGTGGCACATATCTTTAGTTTCTTTAGTTACTGTTCAAATCTAAATTTCTATTATTATTATTATTATTATTATTATTATTATTATTATTATTATTATCGTACAAAACTACTGATTTTTTTCATATGCTTGTTTCATACTTAACACTTTAGGAGTCGGCTGTCTAGTGTAATGGTCAAGCTTCAAGGACTTGTTTCTTTTTTTCATATGCTGATCCTTGATCATTTTGCTTCATACAGATTATAGAGAACGTGATTCGACCCAAACATTCATTCTCCATGAGACACAAGCAAACCATCATGTAGTATTGTTTATTAGATTGCATAAGTGGGAAGCATGAAAATACACATTCAGTTAGTTTGCTTTTCTGTTTCTTGTTTATGTAATACATATATGTATACATTTGATTATATATTGTGATATTAATGATTTTCACCCTTTTTAGTTTCAAATGACTTGTTTTATTCAAATATCTGGAATATATGCTTTGATGATTCCTGTGGGTGCAGAATAGTGTTTTAAGCTACTCATGCAGGTGCTACTAATTGTGTCTTTTGCGCCACAAATGATGGACACAGGGATTCAAACTGCGGTTGCGGCCACATTTTCGGTTGCGTTGTGTTTATCGCGGTCGCGGACGTAACAGATGCTATAGTGGTCACTGCGAGTATTGTGGACATGAATATTTTTTAAATTCGCACAACTTATTATAAAATATAGTAATTATAATTATAGAAAATCATTTTTTAGAGTATTTTGTAACACTTTTAGACTTTTATTAATACATAAACACAATTTTTATCATCATTAATTATTTTTGTATTTATTTATAAATTTCTTAAGAATATTATATCAACTCATAACAAATAAAAAATAGAAAATATTGAGTTCAACATAAAATAGGGCTGCATAAAGTTTTCAATGCAACAATTGGGTGTTACTATAGAAATAATTTTTTATTGAAATCTTAAAACTACAAAAGAGCGAATTACTTACCTATCTTTGGAAAGACGCGACCTAAAATATTACAAACAACATAATATTTTAGGTTACGCACAACTTAAAATGTTTTTTCTTACTTTTTCTTAAAATGTTAACTTTTCTTTACTTTTTTCTGGATGCAAATCTTCTTCGTAATATTTTAGGTTGCAACAAAAATGTTACATTTTTCATAATATTTCAAGTTGAACCGAAAATGTTAAAAAAATATGATCTTTTAAATTGCGCGTAACCTAAAATGTTATGTTGTTTATAATATTTTAGGTCACACTTTATAATATTTTAGGTCACGTATTTCTTTAACCTTATATTACGCTACCTATCCCAAAACTCCTCCAAGAGTAGCCCAATAGCCCAAACATGGAGACCTAATTTTTCTTTCTACGCCCCAGGGATTTCCCGAACATTTAAAACAATGGAAGATTGGGATAAAAAAAATCTTTACTTTAATAATTTTTAATTATTCATAATACATACATTCTACATATATATATATATATATATATATTACTCAAATTCAAAAGCTCTATAAAAATCATATTTTTTTACCTTTAAAATTTACTTTTTGGAGTTATTTTATAAATAAAAAAATGATCTAAAACATTTAAATTATTAATTCGAGTTATAAATCTCAATTAATATTTAGATTTGATTTATATTTAAGTTTTTGGAATTTTTTATTAATATATTATATGTTTACTAAGAAATATAATGGTTTAATAATTAAATTATAAAAAAAAAATATTTTAATTATCTAAACGTTCTTAAGTTATATTACTAAATTGAAATGATGTTTTATTGAAATAGTAGTGCCTTAAAAGTTGAGTGGCCATTTAGGCAATTTACCCTAAAACAAAGTAAGTTATATATTTTGCTCCTTTTTACATGTAAATAAATAGCCCTATTTCCCACCTATATTGAAACCCTAATTTTCATCAGCCTTCCTCCTTAAATCCACCCACCACTTCGACCACTACCACTACCACCCATGCCCTTAAACCTTAAACCTAAAATAGATCCGAAAGCAGTGAAATCGAACTTGGTCCTTATCCTAGACTTCGGATCTCAATACACCCATCTCGTGGCCTTATTCTTCTTTAGATGAAAGCTTAAATAAATAATTAGAGGAATTACAGAAACAGCTTGGAAAGAAACAGAGATTTGAAGCAACAATTAGAGGAATTACAGAATCAAACTTGATGTTTGGTATTGTAACGAGGATTAACGGGAAAAACAGTCCGTTATAGCCGTGATCGACCAATACCCGTTAAATTGCGACCGTTATCGGCCGTTATGGGTGTGATTCCGTTTCACACCATGATTTCGGCTGATATTGGTAACGGGACCCGCCAATACCGTGATATAACAACCGTTATACCGTTACACGACCATTTTTTTGAATCCCTGGATGGACACATTTATGGCGTTTGTAAAGGAAAACGCCACTAAATACTTAATCAGTAGAGACATTTGTAAAATAGTCAATAACGACATTTATGATAAAATGCCACTATATATCACAACATATAGCGGCGTTTAAGTAAAAACTGCCACTAAAGATAAGCTAATTAGCGGCGTTTATATTCAAAATACCACTATATATCTTGACCTTTTGCGGCGTTTGAGAACAAATGCCGCTATATGTCGCGACCTTTTTGCTGTTTTTGTTCCCAAAACGCCGCTATATGTTGTGACCTTTTGCGGCATTTTATGTCCACAAACGCTGCTAACTATTGCGACGCTTGTTATTCCATCGCTTTTCGCGACACTTTTACAAGTGTCAGGAGAGTTTTTAACGTCACTTAAAAACATCACTAAAAACTTATTTTGCTGTATAGTGTTGTGTACACATTGGTTTTATTTTTAAATCTTGCAGCTTAAAAAAAAGATGAATTCTAACATATGGTTTCCCTTTGTTATGATTACAGGTGAGGAATGAGAAGATAGGTGATAGAATCACAACATTGCAGCAGCTGGTTTCACCTTTTGGCAAGATTCCCAACTATGACTTTACTTATCATTTACCCTAAAATGATCAATGCAATGGGAGAATTATGGGCATTTGGCTATGTTGCAGATAGATACGGCATCAATGCTGCATGAAGCAATGGGTTATTTCCGGTTCCTGCAAAAGAAGAATGGAAAAAAAAGATAAACTTTTTGTTATTTAATTTTTTCCTTAAATGTTGCTCAAAAGCTTTGGAAAGTCAAGTGTGTGGGAAAATATTGCCACATCACCAGTTTAATGTGCCACATCAACATTTCATTACCTATAGTAACGAATACTAACATATGTTAATATTGAGTGACCAGTTTGTAACCAATCAATAACGTTAGTGACTGATTTGTAACTTTTGAAACATCAATGGGAAAAACGAAACATACCTCAAATATTAGTGATCATCTGTGTAGTTTACCCATTTTTTATTGGAACTTGTTATGTGGATTGGACGAGTTTCATGACATATAAAAATAGTGACGGGACTTCGAAAAAGTTTGGTGTGGCCAACTTTAATTTTTTTTTAAATAATTCAAAGGTTTAAATTAATTTTTTAAGAATTATGAAGGGTTTAGTTTGCATTTTTTAAAAAAAATTAGGATCTAAATTAAAATTTTTAAATTTTGAGATGGTTAATGAGAACTTTTAAATATTATGGGAGCTAGTTTAATTAAGAACATTAAAAAAATTAAAGTTTAATATGATTTTTTTTAAAAATTAGGGGTTAAATTATTATTTTTTTTAAAAAAATTTAAGGGTCTAAATTATAATTTTTTTAATTTCGGGGGCATTGCCTCCACTAGTCCTTATGTTTCGCCCCTGTATAAAAATTTGGATCATGAAATTCGTTATACTCACGTGACAAATTATAATAAAAAATTATATTTTATAAAAGTTGTTATACTCATGTGACAAATTCTAATAAAAATTATATTTTATAAAACTCATTATACATAAGATTACAAGTTCTTAATCCACTGTTGATCCCTAAATAATTTCCCAAAAATCATATCTCCAAAAATAATTTTAACATGAGGATTATTCTACTAAATTTACCACCGGGATGCCATTCAATTTCAATATTGAAAGTAATTTTCTTTATATATAGTCTACCTTTAATCTTAAAATCTTAACTAATTAGATTCAATTGAAAAGATATTTCGCATCCAAATTCGGTCAAATTTAAAACTGCCAAGAATATTCGTTAGCACTGTGTTAATTGTGCCAGTGCTAAATACATAAAAAATTCCTTAATTTTGTCAACGAAACTAATCAATTTTCATCATTGTTTGTTTTGCAAGATATATGATTTAATTTTAAATATAAAAATAATGAAAAAAATGCTAATTCCAAGGTTTTTGTTTACCTTTTTTGATTTTGAAATTCATCATTATTGGGGGATAGTAATATATGCAAATGTTCTTTGTCTTATTTTTTTTTGGTAAGAAAATGAAAACTACCTAATTACTTAAACCTAATTGCATTCTTCAATCACGAGTTGGCTTATATCAGCAGGAGGCTCCTGTAAGATTCTGGTTTGGCTATCTTCGAAATTGACGCTTCTTGCTAGTTTATCAGCAATTTTATTCCCTTCTCTTCAGACATGTTGCAATCTGACGTTCCAATCCCGGTTTATCAGTTCCCTTATGTACGGTATTATGGTAATATTTCCTTCTTTGTTTGTGCTATTCTTCAGTGTCTGTATTGCTTCGAGGCTATCTACTTCAACTATGAGTTGTTGGATTCCTTGTTCCCATGCACATCTTAGCCCTGTATATACTCTCCATAATTCTGCTTCCATTGTAGAACATATTCCTATGAATTTTTTGAAGCCGATCCTCCATTTTCCATTCAAATATCTGATTACTCCTCCACATGCTGCTTTTCCATCTGTATTTCTACGGGCTGCATCTGTATTAAGTTTTTCCCATCCCTCTGATGGAGGTAGCCAAACTGTTGGACCAACCAATTCAATTGGCTGTGATTTGTTTGCCTGGTCTCTTTCTCTATTTGCATTGTTTATTGAGTTTGTCATCCTGCGGCTTCGTTCTAATATTCCTGTGTTATCTTCCATAGGATTGTTGAAGACAATCGAATTCCTCATGATCCATATGTTCCATAATACCGATCCGAATAGGATTTCCCAATCTTTACTTTCTTTAGCAAACATGCTTGGTCTTGTTAAATTCACTTCAACCCAATTCTTTATGTCCATTGTTAGGAAGTTCTGTAATCTCTCGTTTTTCACCAGTGTTGTCCAAATAGGGGTCACGGTAATGCAGTGTCAAAAAAATATGGTTAATATCCTCTGTTTGTGTCACACAGATTGGGTAATTACCATCAATTGTAAGATGTCGTCGAAGTCTTTCTGCATTTATCTGAATTTTACCTTTGCAGACTAGCCATAGGAATGTTTTCAGCTTTTGTGTTCCTTTGTATGCGTGAATTACCTTCCATATAGGTTCTTGAGTATCTTCCCTTTGTTTTATTCTAACTTCATATGCTGTTTTGACAGAGAATTGACGATCCTCTCTCTTTAACCATCCAATTCTATCATTTTTTGCAGTTGTGTGAGGTCCTTTAATCGCTGCCAGTCTCAGAAGTATATGCAGTGGTAGAAGGTGTTCAATCTGCCTCCAGTTCCAATTACCATTTTCATCAGTCATGCTTTTTATGGTTGCTTTTCCCACCTGATTATGGTCTCGTTGATTGACCAAATTTATTAATGGCCCTATTTCTGCAATCCAGTGGTCTCTCCAAAAATCGGTATGTACCCCATTTCCTATTATTCTGGTTATGTTGCTTCGGACATCCTCCCATACCATGCTTATCCCTTTCCATAGTTTGGAGCAGTTTTGGCTTCTAATGTTAGTCGGTATCTCATCTTTGCATTTGTATTTTGCCTTGAGAACCCTAACCCACAATGCGTCTTTTTTTTCTATTAGATTAAACGCCACTTTCATTATAAATGCTTCATTTTGCTCTTTTATCTTTCTAAATCCAAGACCTCCATCCGATATTTTTTTGGCATACTTTCTCCCATTTTACTAATGGCAACCCTCCTTTTCCATCTATTTTACCCCATACAAATTGTCTGATGATTTTTTTCCAGTTCTCCACAAATTTTTTTGGGTAATACTGCTGTCTGCATGGTGTAAGTTGGGATGGCTACCAAAACAGCTTTTGCAAGTGTAATTCGACCAGCTAGTGACAACGTTTTTTGCCTTCCATCCGCTTAATTTAGTTTGAACCATTTGTACCAAGTAATAATAGTTTTTCTAGGTGGCTCGGGAGTGTAATATTGGTACTCCTAAATATTTCCCTAGATCATCAACCATAGTAAATCCAAATGATGTGCTTATCTGATTTCGCAGTGCTGTTTGTACATTATTAGAGAAGAAAATTGTTGTCTTTGCAATGCTTACCTTGTGTCCCGAGACTTCACAGAATCTTTCTAGTACTGTTCTGATGATATTGAGCTGGTCTAAGGAGGCTTCTGCGAATAGAATCATGTCATCTGCAAAAAATAGATGGGATATCTTTGGGCTGCTTCTTGATGTTTGGAATGGTTTCCATTGTCCTTTTTCGATTTCTATTTTAATTGCTTGTGATAGTCTCTCCATACATAGAATGAAAATATAAGGAGACAATGGGTCGCCTTGTCTTATCCCCCTTGATGGTTTAAAAGCGTCTGTCAATGATCCATTCCACGATATTTGTGTCGAAGTTGTCGAAACACAGTGGTAAATAAGATTACATAGAGCATCTGGGATACCTAGGTCTCGTAATGTATCATCTATGAAACTCCATTTCAGTCTATCATATGCTTTTTCCAAGTCGATTTTTATTGCCATCCAGCCTTTTTTCCCAGATTTCCTTCTCATAGAATGTATTACCTCTTGGGTTATTATGATATTATCAATGATGCTTCTACCCGGAACAAAACTGGTTTGGTTATCTGATATCCATTCTGGTAACAGGGGCTTCAGACGATTAACTATGATTTTTGTGACTGTTTTATATAGCACTCAACAAAGGCTGATCGGTCGGAACTGGTGCATTTTTTCTGGTTTAGCTACTTTTGGTAAAAGTATCAGTATTATCTGATTGAGTTGTTCTGGCATTATTCATTCTGTGAATATTTTCCGGATCATCATGCAAACTGAATTCCCAACTAAGCTCCAATTTTTCTGATAAAATAACGCATGGATTCCATCTATTCTAGGTGCCTTAAGTGGTCCCATTCCAAAAATAGCTTCTTTGATTTCCTCATTGGTTACTTCTCGTGTAAGGCTTTCTTTTTCATGCTCTTCTATTTTTTTGAACTTGCCTCTTATTTCATAATTGTATTTAGGATCCTCATTGCTTGAGAATAGTTTGGTATAAAATTGGTTTGCCATTTCTCTAAGTTCTTTTTGATCAGTACTCCAACTGCCATCTTCGCGTTTTAAGGTTTCGATTTTGTTTTCTCTTCTTCTTGTTATTGTTGAGGCATGATAGAATTCAGTGTTTCGATCCCCTTCTAGTATCCATTTTGTCCGTGCTTTTTGTCTCCACAGACTCTCCTCCTGGTCTAGTACAGTGTCAAGTTCTGTCCGTAATTATTTATCCAACTCTACCAGAAATTCTGAGTGTGTTCGTTGTAGAGCTTTGTCTATTCCTCTCAGTCGTACCAATAAGATTTTTTTCCTTTTTCCTATATGACCAAAGACGTCTGAGTTCCATTTTTCCACTTCAGTTTTGAATGTGCTAATATTTTCGTTTAGTTCCCCGTTTTCTTTCCATATGGATTTGATAAAGTCTTTAAACTCATGGTGTTCCTATCATGCTGCTATGAAGCGGAATGGTCGATTTTTATGATCTTGTTTGTCTGTTGTCAGCCTTAGGAGAAGGGGTCGATGATCTGAACCAATTCGATCTAGATGCAGTACCTGTGAGTTTGGAAATGATGAAATCCACTTTGTGTTTCCGAGGCAACGATCTAGTCTTTGTTGTAGGTTCCCACGATTCCATGTAAATGGTGAACCATGGAATCCTAAATCTAATAATCCAGTAGAATGCATGAAATTGGCGAATAATCGGCTTCCATTTGTATGTGTCGTCGCACCTCCTCTTCTTTCATCTACATCTAATATCACGTTGAGATCTCCCCCCAGGATCCAAGGTGTATTATCGTTTGGTGCTAGTGCCTCTAGTTGGCTCCATTGATGTTTCCTTTTAGACCCGTTTGGGTTTGCATAAATTGCTGTGAATTGTGCCCATGTATTCACTTCCTTAGGCCGAAATATACCATTAATGAATTGATTTGATAAATGGGTAATCTCAATTTCCATTGTTTCTTCCCAAAGTAGCCAAATTCCACCTCCAAATCCATGTGCTTCTACTCGAAGTGACTGTGTGAATCCTAGTTTATTGATTATTCTGTCTGCTTTTGTTCCACTCGTTCTTGTTTCGAATAATGCAACCATATTTGGTCTGTGTTCTCTAACAAAGAGATTAAATATTCTTTTGAAGGTCGGGCTTGCAGCTCCTTGGCAGTTCCAAAACATGAAACTAGTCATTTAGTTGAATTTGTGAGGTTTCAGATCCTTGTTGTCTGGCAATTAACCGGGACTTCTCTGTGTCTCCCTTCACTTCGCTGTTCTTTATCTGTTGATCCTTTATCACCATGTTTTTGCGTATTGGCACATTAACTAGTGTTTGTGGTTCAATGTTGACATGTTCATCATTCGAGGCTATGGATAGCTTATTAGATACCGTCTGTACCCATTCTTTGATCAGGTTATGATTTGCAGGGCGAAAAGTTGTTTGTTTTTTTACTTTTAATCCTTTCACATTGTTTTCTTTTCTCATCCTTCCAGCTTCTTCTCCCCCTTTTGGGAATTTAGTCCCATGCATTTTTTTCCCATGCTTGGTTCTTTTATGGTTATGGCTATGTGGTTTCCGTTCCCTGCTGTGGTTATATGTTCCACTGCTTCCATGTTCTGTCCTTCTATCATTGGAATTACTTCTATTGCGTTTTTTATGCTGTCCGATTCGTGCATTTTCTTTGCTGGTTTTGGTACCATGTTGTTCATGTTGCGATTTATTCCCCTTGTTTGATGATCTGGTAGGTTTCTTTTTGTTGTTTCTCCATTTACTAGTCTGGTTCTGTTCTCATTATATTTTTTATCATCTGTCCTTATTTCTATTTCAGCCATGTGACCATTCTCTTCTTCGCTCAAAATAGTGAAACGAGAGCCCCCTATTTCAGACTTTTGTTTCGCCTTATCTTTCTCAGTCTTTTGTATCGTCGTTGTTTTTCTTCGATGATTTTCCACCACCATCCATGGTCCAAACATTGTTTCTTCTGATGTTGTTGCAAGGTTATGGTTGTTTTTGTTCCTTTCGTTAAGTTCTTCCTCACGTTTAGATTTTATATGTACTTGATATGCTGCACATTGCTCTCTTGTGTGCCCATAAACCCCACAATGGAAGCAAATCTGTTGTAATCCTTCGTACTCTAGTTTTTGTGTGAATCCATCTTTTCCAATACAAGGAATTAGTGGTTGGTTTAGATCTACTAAAACCGTGATTCTTGTAAACTTACCTCTTTCCCCCGCCTGAGTGTTATAATCAACTTTAATTACTTATCCGACTACTGAAGCAATTAGTCGAAAAAGTGCTTTTGTGTAGTATCTATAAGGTAGTCCTGGCAACCTGATCCATACTATCACTTGTGATGGATGTTTTTCAGAAGTTGAGAATGATCTACTCCACGGTTGGACTGTCAAATAGCTTCCATATATTGTCCATGGCCCTTCTGTTAATACCTTTGTATAGTCATCTTCATCTGCAAATTTGACTAAGAAATAGTTGTTTTCTAGGTCGATTAGTTGTATTTCTCCAATTGGTTTCCATAGGGCTTGGATCCAATTTAGCAGGGCTTTGTATCCTATCATCCGTCCTAACAGCCGAACGATGATGACATTCCTCATGTTTTTATCAATTTGATCATGAACTTTTTCCGAGAATTTGATTGTTGGGAAGGCACCCGATTTGTCGATAACGTAGTCCTCATCAAATACCACAATTTCATCATCATTAATACCACAGCCTGTATTTAGCGTTTTCCTTGCCCTAGATGTGTTGGCTACCATGCTTGCGTAAGTTGCCTTCCCTCTTATTTATGTTTCTAGTTTATCTCCTGTTTCTTTTTGTATTGCGCTTTCAATTTCTTCTACTTCATTCATGCTAGATGCTTCGGCCATGTCTCTCTCTGATAGATTATCGGCATCCATCTCTTCTGTTTCTGTAACACTATCGTTGATATTTCCATCCTTTGTGTTCTTGATTTTCTTTGGATTTCTTTGTTATTTCAGATTCGCCTGATATTCGGTTCTTTCTAAAGCTGGTGTTAAATTGGTCTCCGTCTTCTCCTCCGGCAGTCTTCCTCCAAAGGTTCCATATAGGTTTTGTTTTTCGATAAGATTTTCTTGCGGGAACGAGGGAATTTTCCCAATCATATCGATGTCGGCTGCCTTGAATATGCTTTTAATGATAGGTTTTCCAAGAGGCTTCACTTTGCCCTTGGCCACACTAAATAAAAAAAAAAACCTTTGCAATGTTCTTTGTCTTATTTATTAGCAGTAATGCTAAGATATCGAAAGGCCAAATTCTAAAAATTCAAATTCCATGATAAAAACATAATTATATAAACTTAGGGCAATGCAATTAAATATCCCACTACTCACTCGTACAGTGCCCCCCAATTTCCTTTGTCCTTCTCTTTCTTCTTTGTTGTGGCAAAGTGTAATCATATTTTGATTTTGATCCCTTTTTATTTTTTACTTCTCCATTAAAGCTACCTCTTTATTTCTCTGATGTTTAGTGTTTCTCGTTAGTTGTAGTACCATTTTCTTCTCCAGTATTCTAATTTAATGGCTGAAAGTGCATAGGACTCTGCATGATTGCTCACATAAATTATCCAAGTACGTATTCTAATTCTGGGTTTTCAAGGTGTTTTCTTTTCTTCACTCTACTCTGCCTGTTTCACCTTGAAGAAGATGAAAAGGAAGAAGATAAGTCATAAAGTTAAAAGGCTGTTATGTAAATTCTAAGTTCTTTTCTTTCCGTTTTTTTCCCTGCAGAGGGCAATGCAAGGATTTACTCAGAAAATTGTCCAAATGATGAAGAATGAAAAACTTTTTGCATCACAAGGTGGCCCTATTATCCTTTCTCAGGTATGAGATTCTCAATACTTGGAACTTATTTTAGGAATTTTGATTTGTTAAAAAGCATGGCTAAGTGCCTAAGAAAGAACTTGTTGGTACTCTTTGAAGAACTCGGCGGCGATGCAACTAAGATTTCTCTTGTGAGGAGAACAGTTTAGTATAAGTCGCGTGGACACCCTCACAAGTCAGGAGGAAAATGAAGGAAGAATAAAGAAAGATATTGCAGTTTGGTTAGTCTAAATGAGATTTGGGTATTGTTTAAATGTAGCAGAAATGCAGGGTTTTAGAAATAGGCAGTCTTAATCGATCAGGTTTGGCATGGGTGATGAGAGTGTAGGCAGTTGCTATCTGTGTCTGAAAATCCAATTTTTGTGTTTATTTGGAAAGAAAGTTTCATTGTTATGCAGTGGTGATTTGAATAAATGAATCATCCTTGCTAGTGATGCAACGCTTCTAGATTTTATTTCAACACGTACAATTTATAGATGTAATTGCTCCTATTTAAAATTATTAGGGAATATACTATTTTCTTTTACTAATGAGCTCGACCAAATATAAAAGTATTTGAATATAAGATAAAGTTGAAAACCCTAACGCTTGTTTTCTTTTTCTCTATTTGCCGTTAGTCCTTTTTTTTTCTTTCATTAGCATATGGCAGTAGGAGTTTTGCTTCAAAGAAAAGATCATTATCAAGTAATAATTTACTATCAATAATAGGATTTTTTTGGGTTAAAATGATAGGAATGTCATTATCTCCAACTTTTTAGGTTTTACATAATTCTTGTCACTTTAGATAAGAATATCTCTAGAATAATAAATTCTTTTTATATGGGTCATTCTCAATTCCTATTCTTTGTGTTTTATTCAAAATTATAAACATAATAATATTACTATATAAAAGAGTTTAATTTAGCAAAATAATAATAAATGTGAGCGGTTAAAATTATTTTATATTTAATATATTAATCATTTATAATTTTATAAGGGGAAAAAGATGATATTGTTGTAAAAAATGGTATTATTTAAAATAATGTATAACTTTAAGTAGTTCAAAATTAATATTATACATTGTAAAATAATATGCATGTCCACATGAGATCACGCCATTATTTTTATATTATATTATATTTTATAGAAATAAATATGATACTTATGAAAATTATTTAAAAATATAATTTTGATATACCAATTATATTAATTATATATTAAATGTATTTTTTTCTCAAAAGTTAGATAATGTTACAATTAAAATATTTTTATGAATTTTCATTCAAATATTTAAGATATAATATTAAAGTTTAACTTGTTAAAAACATATATCATAGGGATAATTTAGTGAAATGTGCTTCCAAGTAATCATATATTCCTTCAACCAAACATTGTAATCTTACATTCCTATCAAATAAACCAAATAAGGTAATATAACATTCATAAGGTAATACAACATTCCCGTAATCTTATTCCTAATGTAATCTTACATTCTATTCCTTGAACCAAATGACCCCTATATATAAAAGAATTAAAATAATAATGTAAAGGGTTAATTACTGGATTGATTAATTTCCTTTCATATTTATGTATTTTAGCTCACTAATAAATTTAAAATGTTAAAATTGTGTTACGTTATCGATTTATTAAATTTTAATCATTTACATTATCAATTATTATATTTTAGTCACTGAATCATTAACTCTTGTTAAATTAATGGCATGACATGTTAGTTAAAAGTGATGAATTTTTAATTTGACTCATGAACTTTAGATAAAATATTAATTTGATCCTAAATTTTATAAAAAATATTATTTTGACCCTAAACATTATATAACATATCAATTTGGCCCCTAAGTTCTTTCCATCGATCGCCACTCACAATTGTCTTCATCGATCGCCACTCACAATTGTCTTCATCAATTAGCACCAAACGTTGATGTCATTGATAGTTGGACCCTAAAACTCCAAATTCACTCATTTTTTACCTTTTGAATGCAAATCTAGTGACAATTTCACCGAAAATACCTCGATTCAATAAATCTAGATTAGAACCCTTCAAAATTAATTAATAATAATAAATTTATCACTAATATTCCTTTAAAATAAGAATACCAAAAATTTAAAACTTATATTATAATCAAATACATGATTTTTGTTTATAATATTGTTATGTTATAATTTTTCATTATGTTTATAATATTAATTATAATTTTTAATATTAATATAGAAAGAGACAGACGAAAGATTTTATGTTAAGGATACAAAGTTATAAAATTTTAAGTGGATGTGAACTTATAAAATTTTAGGGGAGCAAAAACTTATTATCGATAAAAAAATATCTAAAATATATAAGAATT